AGAGCACAGAGCTTAAATTATGCAGATTTGGTCCTTTAAAGTTCATGGGCATTTTCTAGCATACAACAATCAAACATGGGTGAATATTGAGAAAACATTCAAATTTTAAATGTAGCATTCAAATCACATTGGAAACAGATTCTCAAACAAGATTAAGGATCTGGGGAATACAAGCATATGTGATCAGTGTTATCACCTGAAATAGCTGAAACCTTGCAATAAACTTGATTGCAATAAATTGTCCATCACACAGCAGAAATCATGTGGGAAATTCTTCTAGGAGTAGTATTGAATAATAAGTGAATTCAAATAAATTGATCTGGTTTCAGATGACTGCAAGAGAAAAGTCAAGAACTGTGGTGCTTCACCAGTTTCTTGTGATGAAAATCTCTGTTGCAATCTAATGAAAAGGTGGAATCATGGTTATTTTTTAACTGTTTGGACAACCAAAGCATAACTTTTTTATGAGGCGGTAGTTAGGTCTTCATTCCAGGAGCCATACAGCATGGCAATGTCAGGAGATGGCTTTGAGAAAGCCCATCAAGTGCCAAAGGAGTTGAGCTGCGGTCACACAAAAGGGATATCTTACGTTATTGAAGGGGTACAACATAGACAAACTGCTTTTGGACTCAAGCTCTCAGATGACATTGGCCTAAGTGTCTCTAAACTATGGCAGTGTGTGTCCAGACATACCCTGTGGTCACTAAACATCTACTGGTATTTTGTGCAAAGTGTAGGGCACTTCATGCATTGGCCAGCAGCCAGCATGGCTCAGTACTTAGATCCATGTGCAGCTCTGTGGTTTTTGTTCACTGACATATGTTTGTTTTGATTTGAGTCCATAAGCTTTGCACACTTGAGGTTCACTTTGAGGTTTCAAGTTCAGTTAAACGTCAAGTTTTGCCTGGCTTTCAGGCTGAAACCTCAAGCCTAATGATAATCCTTTCTCTATCTGCAGATTACAAAGAGAAAGGTCATTGAAAAATGAACCCCAAAGACTGATACTTGCTAAGAACCATCAAATATTCAAATGGACCATTCCTTGCAATTATATGTTCAAATCAAAATTAGCAACTCCACATTTTACCGATATGTACAAGTATACTAGTGGCATTCTGCCTCAATTGAAACTATAACATTTCTCCAAGTTTCTGCTATTTTTCAGTTCCTTCTTCCTAGGTAGCACTGTTTAGTGCTACACAAGGATGGCAATTTTTGGCTATAATAAGCAAAAAGTTAAATTTATGGTTTGTTCTGTTACTTCGGTCCAGTCTCTGCAGTGCCTGTGCTATGCTTAACTAAAGTGAAGTTCTACTTCCTTTGATTTCAAGGAGTAAGACCCAAAATAGACTTTTCCCAAAAGGAAAAGCTGATGCCCTATAGGTGCTTGGGTTGCTTTCCTCTTTTGAATCCTAACACTCCTCTGGTGTTGAAAGGAATTTAGCTCTCGTTCTCTGTAACACTGCAACTATCTTGATGCTGGGATCCAAAGTTTCATTTTCCGTGATGTTCAGTGCATCAGTCTTGCAGAAATCCATGTTGCATTGGAGTACTCTACCAAGCAGAAAACTAACTATACAAAGAAGCATTTGGTTGAAAAATATTTGAAAAATCACTCCACAGAATTCAGTAGCCTTTAAGGAGTCATGAATTAAGATTATTTTGGGCTCTCTCTATATTACTCTAATTCTTCATTTTCATCTAAAGTCTACTCAGCTGCTAAATCTTTGCTCCAAAGCCTGTCCCCTGCGGACAGTTACATCAAATCCAAGGTAGCTAGTGTATCCCTAAGGCAGCACAAAGCTGCACTAATATGGAGCAGGATTTGTGATCAAATGTTTGAGAACAAATCTTCAAATGCTGACACGAAACTGATGTTAGAAAAATTTGTATTGATGACCTCTCAAGGCGGCATCCAAAATAATCCCAATTATTTCTGTGTGTTCCAGTCTAAAAGCTTTCATGTGAACTCAGGAAGTAATGTTATCCACCAAAAATTCTTACCTGTACCCTCAGTTGTTCTGTTTGGACAACTTCCTACTTGTCAATTTTCTGTATGGAGCTAAACTGAGAAAGTAATTTTAGACAGGTTAATCTAGAGTCTGCCAATGAATTACTTTGAGAGCTAACACTATCTAATAAAGTAACTATGTTAGAAATTTGGAAAGGGATGAAAGTTACCCATGCTCTTAACAAAGGAGTTAGTGGGGAGGTTATCCAAAGCATAAGAATTAGATTTGTAAGCACTATGTGCATAGGGCTGTCTCGCACATAAAGCCTTTCTTCACCTAAGTCTTTTACACTTCTGAAGGAATTATTTCTGGTCTTTCTCTTTGTAATTCTTATCTCTTTCCCTCCCTCCCTCTTCATTTACACCTAACATGACTGTGTATCTCTGGGTACTGCTTAAACGTTTGTACATCAGATACCTGCATAGGAGGTTTTTCATAAGCTTCTGAAAAAGTTTTTACAGATACTTTAGGGCCTTTTTCAGGTCTGTTTGAAAAAGGTGTCTTGTTTATTCTGAATAAACCAGCATCCTCCATGTACCATGTCAGTTCAGCCCTATTTCAGACTTCAGATCTCCTATTCATATAATCTTTGTTTTTTCTCCTGTTTCTCATAGGTAACATGTGGTAGAACGCTGGAATTGTTATCAGGGTGTTCACTAGGGTTTTAGTGATTTGGCTAATAATTGAACTGGAAGCATTTAGAGATTAAATGATGATCAGGAGTTAGTAATTTGAGCTGAACTTGGTTAAATTAGTATGAAAAGTCTTTTCATTCCTTGACTCCTTCACTTTTCTTTTCACTGGCAGATCTAGGAAAATGTATGCAATACAGTAGTGCAGGGAAGGCTGCCTATGTAGTAAATACAGAAAGAACACTTATTTCCTGCACATTTATTTTCCCACGGAGGGAAGTGCAGCACTAGAAAAGTTACAGAATCTCCATCTCTGAGGTTTTTCAGGATGAAGTCGCAGTTGACCTGATGGAATGTTGATGAGATCCAGAGGTTTCACTAAGTTACCTCCAGATGACCCTTCCAACCAACATCGCTCTAGGTCAGAACAGATAAATGAGCTACTGGTATCAAGTGGGAAAGATCATCAGCTCACAGAGTCAAGAACTGCTGCAAATCTTAGAAACTAATGAGAACAGACTAGAAGCCAGTCAGAGCCATGTTATTCTGATATAGGTTAAAAAAATGGGACTGATCACCAGGACTGCTCCTCTTATCTTGTATTCCAAAGCCCTGAAGATGCATATTTTGCTGCACTCAGTTCCTGACTCACTAATGTTTGTCTTTTGGATCGGGAAAGTCATCTATAACCTGGATTCTCCATATTAGCTGACACTCCATCTGAAAATAGAGTATTCTGTTGGTTAGCTGTAGTCAGTTTGGGTTTACCGATACCATTTTCCAGTAAAGACTTGCCAATGTTGAAATTATTAGCCCCACAGGTGAAAATGCCCTGGGATGACTGTGGTAATCTTGTGATTTCTGTACATGCAACCCTGTAGCTCCCCTGAACACTAACAGCATGCTGACACTGAATGCTACAACTGGATTTTACGTGGAATTTAGGCAACTCCTAGGTGCAGCCCACTGAAAAAACCTCTTTCTGAGAGGAGCCAATAAGAAGAAGTTAAAACTGCCTTGTGCAAATTTTTGCAATCTGCTATTGCGTGAACAGTCGGGAAGGTTGAAATCGGCATGAAAGAGCACTTGGATTTTGCTCCGATGGTGCGTCCCTGTGTAAGGGCTGGCTAAACATCTCTCTTCTGGGGGAATTCTGTGCTTGATCTCCATTATGTAACTTCGGAGATTGCAGTGGGATCCTTTGCAAAACAGCTGTGCAGATTCACGGCAGCTCTCTTCCTAGATTTCCCTGACACTGCGTACAGTTTCAGTGTAAAGAGCCAGGGAGTGCAGCGTCACGAGGTGGTGCCCAGCTTTTGCAAACAAAGGGGATGGAAGACTCTGTGCCACCTGCTCTGTCACTTGAACAAATGTTAGGCGTAAAACAAGCTACAAACCGCTAACTGTTTGTTGGATGATAACTTTGTGAGCAGCAATTCCATCGATTGTCAAGGTCAGCTTTTTTGCTTTTGTTTCTTGAGCGAACCAGTCCCTCGGTTCCATGCTCCTATAGGTAAAGCAAGATAGTAAAGCAACCAAGATGTTAACTGCTTGGTGCCCTGACAGTTTACAGCATTGCAGAGCTGCACGCTCTTATTCGGGGGCTGCCAGGGGTGTCCAGATGTTTCTGCATGTTAAACAGTGTGGCACAACACCTCTGCAGGAATCGGCAGGCAAGAACGTTTACTTCTTGACTTGGACTGAAAGCTTTTAGTCGGCAACATCAGGAAAACATTGACACCATCTGCAAACCCTGTTGTGTCCATACACGAGGAAAAAACCCTTCTGCTCATTTTTCCTGATTATTTTGTGGGACAGTGCATTCACTAAAATTACCAGTTAAGGAAACCGCAAATGCCTCTGTGTTTCTTGCTGTAGTCGCTTGTTGAGTGTGGGGCTGAGTGGGAAAAGGAGTGGTCTTGGCAAACAGCTTATTAGCCTAAAATAAATTATTCAGAACACAGGTTTGGATACAGATTGCAGGGAATGATAATGGAGATGGTTTTCTGAGTCTGTTCATGTTAGGGAGACATGGAGTATGCTTTTCAGGAATTCACTTAAGTAGAATCACTTTGAATAACGCAGCCTGGAAGTAATATTGCTGCCATCCAGCTAGTGTCTGTGGAACAGCATTCTCCTGCCTCCTGAAGCATTGGCATTGAAGATGGATAGATATGGAGATATTTTTTTGAGAGGCTTTTTCTTTTTTTTTTTTTTTTTAAGGGGAATTTTTCTAACCAGTAAAGAGGGCGATGTTTCGGTTGAGATTTTTTCCCCCCCGAGTGAAATAGTGGACCACATCAGCATCCGATTTGGGTGCGTCATGTGGTTTCTCATGTGATGCTGGTCTCACTGTGCTTTGGAGAGTGAGCCTTTGTGACTCCGCACTCTTGGACAGTAGCATCCAGCAACACAGGAGACTTTGGGGAGGGAGAGGAAAAGACACAGCCTCCCAGAAAGCCCGCAAACCCAGAAAAAATAAAGTTATGATAATTTATTATAGTTATTGTTTCTTCATAACTGTTTTGGTTTTAATTTTTAATTCTGGGTCTTCCCTTTTCTCCGTTCCTGCAGGCATAAAGCTGCACCGTTCAGAAGAAGCAAGACTGTCTTTCCTTACAGCTACGATGCTGCACCGCTTTCGACACAGCGTGCTTTTCCCCGCGTTTACCTGGGCGACTGCTGCTCTTTCTGCTGCTGCTGGGGCTGCTGCAGTCTTGCTGCCTGCGCTTCACCCTGGTTTGACTGACTCGAAACTCTCTCGTCTGCACATTGCTAAGGAAGAAGAACGATGGAGCCGCATTTTTTTTTTGTTGGCTCTGGAAGCAAAGGGTTGCAATATGTGATGATTTTGGGATTTTCTTTGGTGGGGGGGAAGGAGGAGAAAAGAAGGGTGTTAATCTAGGATGGGGTGGGTGAAAGCTTAAAGAAATATTATGTAAAGTAATCCAGTGCTCGACAAGGGCATCAGCAACAAGAATCCAGCCTCTGCTGCTCCAGAGGATTAACATGGGGAAGCCACAGTGCTGCAGTCAGGTTTCACCTCAGTGTTGTGCTGGAGACGGATAAATAAGGTATCGGTTGCATCTGCCTGATAAGGCAAAGCCAAAGGGAGAAGGAGAGAGCGAGCAAATGCAAATGCAAAGGAAGAAGAAACGCTACGTGCCGTTTGTCTGATTCTGTGGATTCTCATTGTAGAGAGGATGGCTTGATTAACAAAGCAATGTATGGACCGAGGGACTGTAAATCGTAGCTTGAACACTCCTGGTGCTGTCAAGGAGTGAACTGATGAGTTAGGTGGCTGCAGGAATATCCCCAGGGAAAACAGCAGCCACTCACTCCGTGTATATCTGTGTATGTATGTGCTTTTGTGTGTGTGTGAACATGTATGGAAATGAAAGCAAGACATTTCTGACCAATTTACAGAGGACGTTTGTCACTTTGCTGGGTCAGACCTGATTGCAGCTTGTATTTTCAGCTATAGCTCTACACCCATTTCCTGACTGAGGTGGCACTTTGTGAAAACAGATGGTAGGCAGTATTCTTTTAGGAAATATGAAAGCAGATCCTTTCTGCTTAACACCTTAAAGCACTGAATCTTTTGCTCTGTGCTGAGAAAAACCATGGGGCTTCGTTTTCTCCATCTTAAAATCTCTATAAACACAGCTGTATTCAGTATGGTGAAAAGTTCTATACTGTAAATAGAAATGTGATCAATCTAATCAAAATAAATGCATCCCAGATGACTTCTAGACCAGCTGGCTACCACAGTCGTCAGATGACTAAATCCTCAACTGAGCGTTTATATTCAGTGTTATATTTGCATCTTTTTCTTTTCTATTTTTTTAGATTTTCAAAATCAGCCTCTAATTGAAAAAGATTCTTCATATATTGAGAAAAGGCAATGCTTACATTTGGCAGTCAATTTCTGTGAAATGTATCTGGGTGTATTTTTTACTGCCAAACCTGCATGAGGAAGACTGTGTTTTTAGGGCAGGTAGACTTGTCATGGTACAGGCATATTTCATTTGGTAGGCAGCTCAGCTTGGCCATGTCTGAACAATGCAGAAGTAGGGGAAACAAGTGCTGCAGTCAGCTAGCAAGGCTTGGCATGGCTGCTAGCAGCTGCATACCGAGAAAGAGGTTTTTTTTCCCTTTCCTTTTTTTCCCTTTTGTACAAAGCCATAGACCATAATGTCAACCTAAAATATGTACGAGGGGATTTTCCAATAGTCATGGTGAGCTACCCTGCAAGATGCCGGTCTGGTCCTTCCACTGTTTGTTCCCCTGCGTACAAAGGCAGCCCTCTGTGTTGGATTATATTTAGCCAGCTGTTGGATAACATTCTTGTGCTGGGGGCAAAGGAGTCTTATTACTCCCAAACTGTAGTTTTCTGTTTGCTTAAAGAAAAATAACTTTGGCAATACAGCAGGCTCTGCAAAGGAGTTTATGCCACTGCCTATACCTTTCTGAAACTGTCATGTTCTTCTAACTCGGGCAGCTTAAAGCAAGAAAGGAGGGAGGAGGAGAGACTCTTAACTCACAGCTTCAAAGCTGCAGAGATGAGCAAAATGTCAGCAGCTTGTAATTAGGAGCCCACGGTTACGTCAGTGACTGTATCTCTCCAAGAATAGCTATGTGATGTGTGCCACAAAGCAAAGGAAGACTCTCAAAACCTGGTTAACAAGCCTGGTTCAAACAAGAAAGAGCAAAATGGATTAATGAATCTGCTGTGTTCCTAAATCAGATGTGGATGGATTACATGCACAAGGCTTGCTGAATTCTGCAGCAGTGAAGACTGAATTCTCAGTTTGTTAGAGGGCAAGACATTCACCGAAAGTGCAAATCTTTCAGAAAAAAATGCAGATGAACAACCTATCCTTGAAAATGTCTTTCCAAGCTCTGTCCTGTACAGGCAGCTGCATGACATGGAGGCATGCTCTGAAGGAAGAGACCAGCAAGCTACGCACGAAGGTGTTTAGAGGAAGGGTATAATTAAACATAAAGCAGGCTCGATGAAATTCTGTTCTGGCATTACAGATTTGATACCAAAATACCACCCCAGAGAAGACTGGCTGGGCTCTGGTGTGATTTATATTAAGGCTTCTCTGGTTAAGAGCAAGGGGGGAGGGACAGGGCTTCGTGCAGCATCTTGCAGCCATGCAGAAATCCCCAGAGCTGTGGGAAGTAGGAGGGATGGGCGCAGCTATGAGCTCTTAAAGACACATGCCCATATCCCACCAAGGGGCTTTCTGACCTCTGCAATTATTTTTAGGTCTGTGAAGGCAACTCGGCAGTGCTTAAGCAGTGAGATTGCAGGGGGTGCTTAATCTTCTGCGACTGGCCTTTCTCTGTGTCATGGCTGGAATATGTTTACAGTGCTGTTATCAATACCCCTCCACCACATCCAGTGTGCATGTCTGTCAGTGTTCCCGTCGCCCAATTGCTGGAAGTCTGGTGTGGTTCCTTGCTCTCAGCAGAAGTCACTTGCAGTTAAGCTCTGTTGTAGTTGCTCTTTAATTTACCAGGATAGGTAGATTGTCTTACACAAACAGTGGGGTGGGTGGTTTTTGGTTGTGGTTGTTTTTTTTGACTGTGAATACAAATTTGTAGGAGGAGGTGACTCTGTATATTAAACCAATAGCTCTTTGAATTGTGTGTAGTATAATTTAAATATACTCACTTTAATTAATAGAAGGTTACAAAAGCTGGCATTGTCTGGGGCTGTTTAATTTACATCTTAGGTTTAGTCAATGAGCATAACCTGACTGATTAGAATAGTGTATTCTGCGCAGCCAACAGGGTGGAAGGCATTATTTTGTTTGTGTTAGTTCAAACAGCTGGTCATTAATGCAGGCCCCATCTCCAGAATGAAGTGCTAGTGGACATGAATGGCTGCCTGATTAATGCTGCCCCTCGATGGGTCCTTCATCCAGCAGCGATGCTCGTAGCAGAATAATGCAGCGAGATTTGATTGCACTCTAACAGGGTAGTATGTCATTGTGTCACCGAGTGATCGAGGTTATTATGGGGCAGGGCAGACAGACGGGACAGTGGGGTTACTAGACCGTGGCATTTTTAGAAATGCAGGGCTGACCTACTTAGAGTTATTCTTGCTGGCTGGCAGCTGCCTGGTGCGGGGCTCCCCCGGATAGGCTGCGGCTGTTGCTAGGGGGAATTAGCATGAATTTTTCCACATACAGACTCAGTGATTGAATGATAAAAGCTGACTGGAATTAAAGAGATTCGGTTCAGTATTATGCAGATTTATCTCCTCATTTTTTTTCTCTCTGTCAAGTGCATAAAAAGGGGCAGAAAACAGTTTGTTGCCATTTATTTTTGACCTATTTTTTTTTCCAGGGAAGGCCAGAAGTGTTGTGAATTTTTGATCATAATTTAATATTTAAGCCATTGAAATGATATGATAGTGGGCATACATCTTTAATGTATGGAAGGTTCAAATGCTATGTCTCTGGAAGGGAATGAAATGAATAACATATTTTGTGTTCTGGTCAGACTGCTGCCTCTTTCTATCTGAAGCTGTGTCAGATTCCCTTATCTGGAAAGGGGAAACATATAACAGGTTTTATTGCATAACATTACTCTTGTCTATTTTTAGCTATCTGTATTTAAAAAAAATTAGTCCTGTTTACGTTAGTGGATGAAATTAATCCCCAGGCTATGCCTCATGTATGTGGAGACAGATGCCCCAGGTAGCTATGGTGTTGTGGGTCGTGTTCATCTGAAGAGGTGTTTACATACTGCAAACTTATCAGCACTGCATACCTAGCAGCATACTGATGCCTGGCATGTAATCACATCAATAAGAGAATGTCTTCTGGATTTCCGAGTCTTTTTCAGGCTTTGGTTTGAAATTGGATTCTCTAGATGGCCTTCCTTTATTTATCTACATCTGCCTAAAAGAGTGTTATCTTTTCAGAGAACTCTGTGCTCTCTCAGGAAGCAAATAAAAACAATACTCAGTGAAGAATCCTTTGATGTAATTATGAATATTTCCTTTGTTATCATCACTAATTATAGAAGATCTTTGTTTAAATTGCTATCCCCCTCTGAATGATCTTTTACCACATGAAGAAGTTCTAATTTAGTGCTTATAATTTTAAGTTAAATTTTCATGGCAACACATCATGACATCACACTCGAAGAACTGGGAATTTTCAAGATAAAAGACAGTGAGGATGGGGGAGAAGGACCCACATGTCTTTGGAATTGCAAAATAAAAAATATGACTTGGTGATGAAAATTAGTGAACTCATTTTTGTCTGAAATAGTTTAATTTGAAATATTATATGAATGAGATACCTTTTAGAGAGGTGTGAGCAGCGTGCATGTCTGTCTGGACAGCCAGCAGCCTCCCTGGAACCAGTGCTCTCCTGCTTTAGCCCCTGGAGTTTCTTGGAAAGCAATGAAGAGGAAGAAACTGGAAATGAAGACATGAATTTGAATGCATTTTGTGACTGAGGCAAAGCATTCAGTTCCTACAGAGTTGAATTTCCAACGACTCTTTCCTGGCATTGATTCATTACTGAAACTCATATCACTTCCTTCTCTGCTCCTTCCTGATGGTCTCATGAAGTGACAGATTTTTAGAGAAGTGAAAGTGAAGAGGGGCACTATTTGATGCCCACTAACTGTGTTTGCCTTGCCTGTCCCTGGAGGTGACTGCAAAAAGTTTTGAGTCCACTTGCCTCAGCAGTATTCTCATGATCAAAGTCTGATCTCCTGCTCCACTTTCCTACCGGATGCTGCAGGATGCTAGGCAACAGACCTTTGTCTACAATTGTCTGTTGAAGTTCTTGCCCTTGTTGGTTGTAGCCAGTTGCAGTTTCATCCAATTCACCTGAGATATTAGCTGAATTGGGCTTCAGGAAATCAAAATAAGCATGCAATGCTATATTAAAGCAGAAATCCCTTTTCTAGTGAAAAATATTTGAGTGTTATCTTATTTTGGTATATTCTTGCTAAGAAAGGGGGAGTTCAAAGAAAAGCAACAGACAAGATAGAGCATATACTCCATGGAAAAGAGTTGTATGCTTGTTGTTTATTTGGGATTTCAACACAGTGAATGTTTATAACAAACATCAAATCGGACAGTTTAACAAACCATCAAGTGGTATATTAAATATAAAAAATATAATGCACAAGAAATTGTATTCAGCATTAAGCTACTTCTCTGAAAATCTCTTTAATGGGAATTATTCCAAATAAATGAATGTATGAATGATCTGATCATAATGCTTTGGGTAATTATAAGTAGCAGAAATATGGAGTTAATGAAACAAAACCAAAATCTGAGCTTTGTATGTGTGTGTATAATGCATAAGAAACAGGACACCAGAGGAGTTAGAAATATATGTCTGTGTTGAAAATATTGTCAATTGTGCACATTCTTTTGAAAAAACCATGTTAATCATTTTCTGATGATCTCCTCTGAGGTTTCTATTGTTGCTACAACTTACACCTCCTACCTTGAAGTTTCTTACCTACAAAAGATTGTGCTGTATTGTTCAACATTCTTGTACCATGACCTCTCCTGTGAGCTATGAAAGATCTATTATGCTAGGGTGGCTAAATGAGTGCTGATTTACTGGGAGCATATGCAGGCAGTAATTTTTATTTTTTTTTCTCAGCAAAATACCCAGAATCCTGCCTCCATTTGCAGCTGTGAGGTGGCTGTGCTGCTTGGTGTATTCCTGACTTCAAAGTCTTGGCAGGTCATGGATTTGTTGGG